CCGCGCCCCCCCGCAGCCCCCGGCCCGCTGCTGGCCCGCAGCACCGGCAGCCCCCAGGTCGCCTCGAAGGCTGTCACGTCCCCCTCCGTCACGTCCGCTTGGGAGGACAGGTCGAATCTGGGGCGGAGGGGGGACACATATGGTCAAGGGAGACACCAACACCCTGAAAAATCCCCCCAAAACCCCTTAAAATTAAGTGGGCGCTGCCAATCCATCGGTGTAGTGAAGTGTGTGCGTTCTCAGCCTACCGGGGTATCAAGCGGTGGGGTGCAAAACTGCTTGGGGGGGACACGCACACAGTCAGGGGAGACACCAACACCTGGAGAAATCCCCTCTGAGGAAGGCAAAACCCTACAAAAATAAATGGATGCCATGATTCCATGGGTGTGATGAGTGTGCATGTTCTCAGCCTACCTACCAAAGTACTGCGTGGTGTGAAATATGGTGGTGCAAACCCAACTGGGGGGGGGGACACACACATGACACACGGTCAAAGGAGAAACCAACACCCTGAGAAATCCCCTCGTGGCGGAAGGTGGTGGTGGTGGGGGCAAAACCCTCTAAAAATAGGTGGAAGTGGTGTATCCATCGGTGTGATGAAGTGTGCACGTTCTCAGCCTACTGAGATGCCAAGCAGTGTGAAACACAGGGGCGCAAACCCGCTTCTGGGGGGGATGCAGACCCCCCCTCGGGACCCTCCCCTCATCCCCCGAGAAGGATACTTGGTGCCGACGACCACCCTAACGAGGTTTTCTTCATCAGGGCCGACCACCCGGCTCATGTGAGCTGGCAGCTCCTCGAAGGACGAGCGGTCGGTGAAGGAGAAGAGGAAGAGGATGGCGTCCGCTTCCTCCTTACAAGACTGGGTGGGAGGGAAGGGGAGGGGACAGCCACCATCACGGGGGGGGTCCTGAGTGTGTGTGGGTCCCCCTGAAACTTGTGGTCCCCCCCTCACAATGACTCACGGGCAGGAGATACTCAAATTTTTTGAGGGCGCCGTCCCCGCAATCCCAAAAATGAAGCTGGAAGATGACGGGGCGGCCGCTGGCCCGCGGCTTGGGCGGCCAGGAGACGGGGGGGGGCG